TAGGGAAAAAATATACAAACCCTCACTGTGAGTACAAAAAAATGAATACAGGAAGGAGTCTTTTTAATTAAAAAGAAACTATGAAACACATCACTTGTAAAAAAGAATGCTTTATTTAATCAGGTGTTGAATCCTTTGTGCTGGCAAGAAAAATAGAGAATACAGAATATTTACTTCTTCGGGAGCTAAACAAAGAATGTATTTGCTGATTAATGAAAGTGAGGCAAAGGCATCAAATAGGATTAAATTTGACTATGTTAAATTCTCCATTGTAAGTGACAAATCTCTCTTCTGCTTTCCTAATTTTTAATCCAAAGAGACAATGATTCTTGACAAATTGTTTTACTAATAAAGCCCATCTTAACCCATCTAAAATGTGAATGTCTATGCTCCTACAGACATTTGAGGTTTGTGGAGTGGGTTTTATATAATTGTGGGCAGTCATAAAACATAGTGTAGGGATGGTGATAAGACATAAATTGTACCAATTGTTAATCTCTTTCAGATGCAAATTAACTGAAATTGAACTTGCTGTTTTGTTCTTTCCTGACTTAAACTGAATCCTTTGTTTCATGAACAACAAAAAAATTCAATTAGCTGAATCAAATAAAAGTGTTTTCAACAGTCTGCAAACTTAAAACACAATACAGTCTTGTGTTTTTATACTACCTTATTCCTCAGAGTTCCTGAGGTTTGTCACAAAGAATCCCCAAGTAGAAAAGCTTGGGGCTGTACTGCTGCTTCTGAAATGTGTGGAGGATATTTTTCAATTTGTTTCCATTAATAATAAACAATTACCATTTATTTAGACCCATTATATTTTAAGCACTGGGCTAGCTGCTTTACAAACATTTATTTAACCCTTACGGAAACCCCACAAGCTAGGCATTATCTCTGCTTTACAGATGAGGAAATGGGTTCAGAGTGGTTACTTGCCATACATACTGGGATTGATGATTGAGCACCACCTCATCAGCTACTGCCTTGCAACTGATCGTTAATCAAACTCTTATCAAACATTAATCAAACTCTGTTGTCTGTGGTAAAAAATACTATGAACACTTATCCTCAGATATTAGAGTTTAAGACAATTTGGGTAATACTACGTAACATACATAGGTAAAAGTATGCTTAGGTAAGGGTCACATTAAAGCCAATGATGCCCAATAATATTCTCCCCCTTTCTGAAAGCAGAAAATAACCCCCAAAGACTTCTTGAATACTTTTGTTAGCTTTTGCTTCATTTTTAAATCCTATCACAATATAGAAAGACACAATTGCCTCACCAGTATCAGGGGCACCACAATCATGAAAGAAATAATCCCCATGCAATTCAGCTACCCACCAGTGATCTATAGCCCTTTGCAGCAGCTGTAATTGGCCCCTTCTGGCTCCACATTCCTAATATGCATCTCTACCAATTCTTCATAAAATATATTTTTGACTCCAAAAAAAAGATGAAATCCTAGGCAAGTCCTGACCTTCCTGTACATCTACCTTTTGCACTGCAGGAAGAACTGGAGGTGGGGGCATAGGGAATATCTTAATACTTTACAAAGCACCACTCCCATTGCACAGACGATCAGGGAGGATTATGTCTCAGTTACCAGATCCACACACCACATAAGCCAAAGGGCAAAAGAAAATTGTCAAGGCTGGAACTAAGGAATTTGGGGCTCCAATGGCAAACTGTCCCTGGACACTAGCTCAGACTCAGTGAGTTAATTATTAGAAAAAGAACCCAGTTTCTGATCGGATGAAGACTTATAGAATAGTAAAACTGAGGGGAAAGGACCATTTGACAGGAAACCTTAAAATAGAATTCAAGAATCCTACGTCCTAATCTGGCTTTGGCCGAGACAATGGGATCATGTCACTAGATGACTGAGATGGCTGAATATAAAACATACAACCATCAGAATAGCCAACTTTTGGACTGAGTGCCTTCAAAACTCTATCCCAGGGAATTCCCTGGAAGTCCAGTGGTTAGGATTCCACACTTCCACTGCCGAGGACGCAGGTTCAATCCCTGGTCAGGGAATTAAGATCCCACAAGCCACACAGTGTGGCCAAAATTAAAAAAATAAAAACAACTCTATACCATTTCTATTCTATATTGAAATTCCTCTTGGAGAGCAGAAACCCCAGAGCACATTTCTTACAGTCTTATAGGAACTAGATCTGTCAAGGATGATGACCTTGAAAGAACTATTTGTGATATTTAATACAGCAGCCACCAGTCATGTGTGGCTACTGAGCACTCAGCAAGTGGTTTGTGTGACTACGGAAGTCAATTTTAAATTTCATTTCATTTTAATTTAAACTTAAATATCCATACGTGGCTAGTGGCTATTGTACCAGACAGTGCAGTTCCAGATACTGTAAAAGTTAATTTTCAGCAAATAAAAACACATTTGAAAAAAAAAAAATTAGTCTTTTCTTCCTTAAGACCCAACAAAATCGCCAGGAAATCACATTATTTGTTCAAAATGAACCTTTCTCTGGGTAAATCCCCAAGGACAGAAATGATTTGTTGCTACCCAATCAGGCAACAGGAAATAAGGAAATTCAATGACAATCTCATCTTCAGACTCCCAGGATTTCTCTCCATGTTTTTCTTTGAAGCTATTCCTATCTTACCTTAAATAAAAAATATTCTTCTTTCTCTCCATCATTGGCAGTATCTCTCACTGGGCAGATCCGATGACCCGATGATCTGGGTCTTCCCAACCTCTAAGGTGGGAGGTTGACTTTTCCCAAATGTTTTGGCAAACAAACCAAAGAAATTTTATAACCCTGTGTTCAGAGAACACCTTAATTGTAATGCTCTGATAAGAAAAGAAAGGAAAAAAAACCAAAACAGACTTTGGGACTCAGGAGGGAGATGAATTTGGGACTGAAAATGAAGAGACAAGAGCCATTTCCCCAGAACAGTTTTTCCAAGTCCATTCATGAGGAAAATCTTCAACTTCAGGAGATGCAGAAGACTTTTCTATATGAATTTTCTGATGCTGAATGAGGTAGGCACTTCTGCTGAAGCATTTCTCACAGTCAGTACATTTGTAAGGTTTTTCTCCTATGTGGGTCCTCCGATGCCTGATAAGGTTAAAGCTTTGACTGAAGCACTCACCACAGTCAGGACATTTATAAGGTTTCTCTCCTGTGTGCGTCCTTTGGTGAATCACCAGGGTGGAACTCTGACTAAAAGTTTTCCAACACTCAGAACATCTGTAAGGTTTTTCTCCTGTATGTGTTCTCTGATGTCTTATGAGGTGGGAGCTAAGGCCAAAACTCTTTCCACATTCACAACATTTATATGGTTTCTCTCCTGGCTGGATTCTGCATTCGTTTATCACACTGCAGTTCTGACTCAAACTTTCTTCATATTCAGACGTTTCATAGGATTTCTCACCTGTGTGCATCTTCCGGTGTGTAATAAGGTTTGAACTTCGACTGAAATTCTTCCCACATTCTGTACACTGATAGGGTTTTTCTCCTGTATGTATTCGCTGATGCTTTATTAGAGTAGAATTGCAACCAAAGCTTTTTCCACACTCAGGACATTTGTAGGGCTTCTCACCTGTGTGTGTCCGCTGGTGGCGAATCAGACTAGAACTCTGACTAAAACTCTTCCCACAGTCGGGGCACTTATAAGGTTTTTCTCCAGTGTGGGTCCTCTGATGTTCTACTAGGACATAACTGTGGCTGAAGCATTTCCCACAAACCGGACATTCATATGGTTTTTCACCTGTATGTGATCTGTGATGCTGAATAAGGTGAGAGCTGCTACTGAAACTCTTCCCACACTCAGGACATTTATAGGGTTTCTCTCCCGTGTGAGTTCTTTCATGGATAATAAGATGGGAGGTGTTGCTGAAGCTTTTCCCACATTCACCACACTGGTAGGGCTTCTCGCCTGTGTGTGTTCTCAGATGCTGAATCAGGTGAGAGCTGTTACTGAAGCATTTCCTACACTCAGAACATTTATAAGGTTTTTCTCCTGAGTGGGTCCTCTGGTGAGTTCGAAGATGAGAACTATTATTGAAGCTTTTCCAACATTCAGAACATTTGTAGGGTTTGTCCCCAAAGCATGAAGTCTGCTGGACGGCAGCCCTGGTATGTTGTCCTGGGTCCCATTCCCAGTGATTGGGTTTTTCCTCCTCTTTTCCTGTAGAATTTCCCTGATTCTCCAAGTTGCCATCATTCTCACAGGAATCATCACACTCAATTTCACGTCCCTGGGACCATGTCAATGGCATTTTTTGTGTGTCCTCATGCTTACAATTTTGTGGGCCATCACTTTTAGACCATTTTGAGGCTCTCTCTTTATCTGCCTTAGATTTACTGTGTTGAACAGTTTCCAAATTATTCTTACTTTCATCTCCTGCAAGAATAAACAAATAGTCTAAACACATTCGCTAGTCTCTGCCAGGGGAAAGAAATTCTGAATCATGGTGAAAGAGAGGGAATAACAAACTCAAACCTCATAAACTGTTTTATATGAAAAAAAAGTTTTTATAGCTAGTTTTAATTCTTTTACTCTATGTGTTCATCAAGTAGACGAACGTTTTGTACTTACAACAACACTAATGAGGTATCTGAACAGTTCTCACCGATTGCCACAAGGGATACCAGGCTAAAAATAAAGACTTAATAGAAAAAAGTAAGGGAGAAGATGGATAGAACACTATCTGAGGTGAAAACTAGATAAAACCTTAGTTAAAATCTGAGCATGTTAACAGGGGTTTCCCTGGTGGCGCAGTGGTTAAGAATCTGCCTGCCAATGCAGGGGACACAGGTTCGAGCCCTGGTCTGGGAAGATTCCACATGCCATGGAGCAACTAAGCCTGTGCACCACAACTACTTAAGCCTGCACGACTAGAGCCCATGCTCTGCAACAAGAGAAGCCACCACAATGAGAAGCCCATGCAATGCAATGAAAAGTAGCACCCACTCGCCGCAACTAGAGAAAGCCCGTGCGCAACAAAGAAGACCCAACGCAGCCAAAAATAAATTTTAAAAAATTTCTTTTTAAACCTGAGCAAACATAGAAATAACAATGATACCCACTACTTAGCAAGAACAGTAACTTCACATATAGTGTATCATTAATCCTAAAAAATATGTGAGACAGATATTATTATTCACTTTTCTTAAAGATGAGAAAACTGAGGCTGTAGGAGTTTTCATAGCTTGGAAGTGACAGAGTAGGGAATCAAATTAAAGTCTGTCTCATTCTAAATCCCTGATCTTTCTACACATTCTACAGCACATTGTATAACGAATTTCCAAAGGATTCAGATCTTCTTGATCCCTCACCTGTAAAAGTGCTTTTCAAACTCTCCCTCTCTGTGAAGCCATTAGAATCTGAGACCAACAGTTTTTGCTCTTGTTCCATCACAATGGTCACAGTCAGGTTAGGGATCAGAAATCCTGTGGAAGGAAACAGGTTATGCTTGAAGGCATCTGTTAACATTTCTCCTTCTTCCTTCCTCTCCAACTACTGCAACATAACAACTGTAAGCATAGAATGTTCTGTGGACCATACTAAAAATAAGAAACGTGGGCCTTAGAAATCCTTTTAGAAAATCTTATCTCAGATGCAAGTATTTAGAATTACGAGTTTACCTGATTTACCTTCCCTAGGGAAATAATTTAAAAATTAAACCTTCACATTAAAGTCTGAGGATCAAGCTTCAAAAACAGAATGAATACTAATACTCACTGTCCACTTGGGATTTAGAAACACTTTTAATTGAAAAAATGAAGTAGTTTTTTGGAAAAGGCACCAATAATAAGACCTTAAGGAATCAATATGCAGGTATAAGAAGCAGCTAAAGAGAAAGCACCCTGTTTAGTTTACAAAGAATAAGTGGGTCCTTGACAGAAGGATGAAACCTTTGAAGTCAATTTCTAAAGAAAGTTAGGATTTACTTAACTAGTAACAAGAAATTAAGACAAGGTAGGGCTAGAATAACTATAGCCAATAATCTCTAAACATAAAAGGGAGGCCAACGAGGAAACTCTTCCTTGCCTCTTCCTCTCTATCATAATCACAATATCCTTTTCAGCCTAAACTTTATCTTCTGGACCCAACTACAAGGGACTGGAAATGTGACCTTTCACTGGAAGGCAGTTATACATGGACTTGGCATTTCAGGATATAAAGAACAGCACAATTCAGGAAAAATGGGAGCTTAAAAGAAGGCACACATATGGAAAACAAAAGATGGTGTACTTATAATTTTCACCCTATTACTGCCTATTATGTGGCATGCAGTGAACTAAATACCTTAAACCTGTCTAATTTAATTCTTACACAGCCCTCTGAACTGTATAAACAGATACCAGCATGCTGTAGGTGAACAAAATAGACATTAAGAAACTTTCCCAAGGACACACAACCAGAAAGTAGTAGAGCAGGATTCAGTCCCAAACCTGTTTGGACACTGACTTCAACATTCTTATCTGATACAGTAAACAACTAGAACAGAAGGCAGCGCTGGGTATAACCCCAACCTGCAAATGATCAGGACCTTTATTTTGGAATATATTGACTTCCACCACCACTCTCCACACCCGGCCCCAGCAGTGAAATCGCCAAGCCCTAACCACTGGACCACCAGGGAATTCCTATATTGACTGTGTTTTTAGGAAGCCAATTCACATCCCTAGACCTTATGCCAAAGGAAGCTGGCATTCTCTAAGCACCCTCAGTCTAAAAGAAACTTGTCTAAATTACAAATATGCCCAGTGTTTAAGTGGGGGAAAAAAACATATACCTGAATGCAAAAAAAAAAAAAAAAAAAAAGAAAGTTGTTCAAATGGAGTAATATGTCTTGCCGTCTGAGTTACGTATTTCTATCAAAGTCTTTACAAAAGAAGCAAGTTTCTGGGTAACAGATACCCATGCTACCATTTCCCTGCTAAGAAACCATTAATTTTGGTAACAGAAGAGCCCTCAGGTTCTTCTCAGCAAAAGGGTAGCAAACTCAAGGCCAGAAATGGTATTAAGAGGCTGTCCTTAATATGTCATTCCAGGGACTTCCCTGGTGGCTCAGTGGTTAAGAATCCGCCTGCCAATGCAGGGGACACGGGTTCAAGCCCTGGTCCCTGAAGATCCCACATGCCGCGGAGCAACTACTGAACCTGCGAGCCACAACTACTGAGCCCGCGTGCTGCAACTCCTGAAGCCCACGCGCCCAGAGCCCGTGCTCCACAACAGGAAAAGCCAACGCAATGAGAAGCCCGCACGCTGCAATTAAGCGTAGCCCCCACTGGCCGCAACCAGAGAAAGCCCGCGCTCAGCAATGAAGACCCAACACAGCCAAAAAAAATTAAAATAATTTTTTTAAAAAATGTCACTCCACAGAGAAAGGCTGTTTTCACTCTCCTAGAGCAAAGAGGTGATTACGATGGGGGCGGTGCTTTGGATTAAAAAGACTTCCAAAGAAAATGCACTGCCTGAAGCTTAGCTTTAAGAAGCGCTAGCAGGGAGCACAGGCCGGGGGTGCACTACGGGGTGAGCTCCAGGGGAGCAGATCATCTCCAGTCGACACGGTCCTTCAAGTGACCCCGCAGGCGAGGCTGGCACAGTTGCCCGTGCAGCGAGAGATGCTGGCTGAGCCTTCGCCCCTCACAGCAACCGCATCCCTCTCCGGGACTGACATCCCTCTCCTGGGCGGCGCAGCTTCGCTCCTCCGGCCCGCAGCCCTCGGCTCCCTTCCACCCGAGAAGGAACTCACTGTGCTGGGGGCAACACACAAGGCGCCCCGCACCCCCAGCAAGCCCAGCCGTCCCGGAATTAAGCATCCCCTCTGCTTCTGACCCCACCAACCCACGTTCCTAACCTCTCAAACCCGGAAGACAGAAACAGGAAGTACCCCCATCTCCCCCAGCGGGCTCGCCGGGGCCTCTCTAGGACACAGTGATGGCCCGTTCTCTTTGGTCTTAACCCTTAGGGTACCGGACAAGAAGGGGCGTCCTGGTGGATTTCTCTTCCTTGTGGCCTTTGTCTTTTGCCAACTCTGATTCTCATCCCTCACGCTTATCAGGCGCCTTATCACAGGGGCCCAACTGGAGCTTATACTTTTCTTTGCCGTCATTAGATTTCTCATCATCATTAGAATTAAAATGAAGCGAGTATTTTAAGCGCCTTCTGTGTGTTCCCACTGCTGTGAACTAGGAGGTATATTTAGCTACCTGTGAAACAGTGAGAGAGCTAAGGCATCCATCCACATATAAAACAATTAGTTTAGGAGGCAACGTTATGAATAACACTTAGAGAAGCAGTTAAACTCTCCCCCTCTTTCATTACAGAGAAAACAGAAGCCTTCATCTCCCGCACATCAAACATGCAAATCTACTAAGTACGCACCGCAACCATCTCTTCCTTCCTTCCTATTACAACAGAGCATTGGTGCTTGGCACTGAAAATGAGCCCTCTACTACCAGTCACTTTACTTCCCACCTTCATGGGATCCTTACACCAGCGGTCCCCAACCCTTTGGGCCCCAGGGACTGGTTTCGTGTAAGACAATTTGTCCACGGGGTTGGGGGGAGGGGTGGTTCAGGCGATAATGGCAGCGATGGGGAGCAGCCCAGAGAGCTTGCTTGTCCGCCTGCCTCTCACCTCCTGCTGTGACGCCCAGTTCCTAAAAGGCCACTGACCAGTACCCATCTGTGGCCCGGGGATTGGGGACCCCTGCCTTACACTATCAACAAAACCCTTGACTCTCCCACCTCCACACCAAAACAGTCCTTCAGTTTTCCTTTTTTTTTTTTTTTTTTTTTTTGCGGTCCGCGGGCCTCTCACCGTTGTGGTCTCTCCCGTTGCGGAGCACAGGCTCCGGACGCACAGGCTCAGCGGCCATGGCTCACGGGCCCAGCCGCTCCGCGGCATGTGGGATCTTCCCGGACCGGGGCACGAACCCGCGTCCCCTGCATTGGCTGGTGGACTCTCAACCACTGCACCACCAGGGAAGCCCCTATGGTATTTCTTTTATGGCAGCCCAAACAAACTAATATAGTCAGAAAGCTAAAATTACATTTACCAGACTTATCTGAAGTAATGGCAGTAGCTGAAGCAGCAGGGTTTTTGTTTTTGTTTGATGTGGACCATTTTTCAAGTCTTTTTTGAATTTGTTACAATATTGCTTCTGTTTTATGTTTTGGTTTTTTGGCAGCAGGGAATGTGGGATCTTATCTCCCCGACGGGGATTGAACCTGCACCCGCTGCATTGGAAGGGGGAGTCTTAACCACTGGACCGCCAGGGAAGTCCCGAAG